ATGCGCATGGCAGGCAAGCCAGCCGGCCCTGGAGGTTCGGAATTGCCAATAACTTGCCATTATGGGGCCCGTACTTAGTAGCTCTAGTACCAACAGTATCCAGTCGTCGGTAAAGTGTTGGTTATTGTTTATTGTGTCATCTTGACAGCACGTGTCAAGTATTTTTTATTTTTAATAGGAATCGACGGACGACTAGTTGGACTAAAGAATRAGCCTAGGTATCTTTGTCTTCAAGTGTCACAMCCGTATTCGCATGGCGTCATGGTTTAACCAAAATACTGGAAATCAACTCGGATTTTGTTCATCCAATGCTTTCTCACAAAACAAAATTGAATTCCACTAGTAAAACGAAAAAATGAAATCTGCTCTCTTCCTATCCCTTGTTGCATCGGCCACTGCCTTTGCCCCGGTCGCAACCAACAACCGTGCTTCGGTTGCCGTTCAGGAATCCAAGGCCGACCTTGTTGCATTGGCAGAAGAACTAAACCCTATTGTTAAGTTCTACGATCCGTTGAACTTGGCCGAGGAAGAATTCTGGGACAAGACGAACGAAGAGACCATTGGCTTCTTGCGTCATGCCGAGATCAAGTAAGTGGACTACAATTCTAAAAAGATATGGATTCGGTGTTGTGACACAATCGAATACGAACTAACGATGTGTTTTATAATGTCTTCCGTCATTGTCATGTTACACTCTTTGTTGATTGATGCAGGCACGGACGTGTTGCCATGTTCGCCTTCGTTGGATACATTGTCCACGCAAATGGAATCAAGTTCCCATGGCCCATGCAAATGGACGGAACTCCTTTCCCTACCGGAACCAACCCACCTGAACTTTGGGACCAAGTTAGTGACGCCGCCAAGTGGCAAATCTTCGGACTCATCTTCTTCTTGGAGGCCTGGAGTGAAATTGCAACACCTGAGCACAAGCATTACATGAACGGAGGAAAGCCAGGTGCCTTCCCAGATTTCGACACATACGAACTTCCCCACCCTGTTCCATTCAAGAGCTTGTATGATCCTCTTGGTTTCAGCAAGAACAAGAGCGAGGAAGCCAAGGCCCGTGGACGAAAGGTCGAAATCAACAATGGACGTCTTGCTATGTTGGGTATCTTCGGTTTCCTTTCAGAGGCAACCATCCCTGGATCTGTCCCTGGACTRACGGGTATCGTCCAACCTTACAGCGGAGAAGTCATGGCTCCATTCTCCGAGAATATGCTTAAATTTGGACTGTAAACAATCTGAAATCAAATTGAACGAAAAGCTGTGTGCTGTTGTTAGAGTACTCCGGCACTACGTGCTGTCATCAGAGTATTCCGGTATATTGAGTTATTATTATCATAACCTAGCTATATTTTTGCAGAAATCTATTTGCTAATTTTTTCTGAAAATTATGTAGCAGTGTCTTTTATTCGTCCGAAGCATAATCATCGCTCTGGCTGTCGTCGTCACTGCTCATTTGTGCCTCATAAACATCTGTCTTTGTATCATCTTCGCCTGCAACGTCCTCTTTCGATCGGAGTCGCACTATTGCGATGCGATTTTTGGCGCCGGAAATACGATTCCAGCGACCTAGCTTTTGTTCTTGGCCGACCGCAGCGATGCAAAAGCGAGCCTTTGGACCTATCGCAAGATCGTTTACACAACCACTCAAAGGGATTTTATCTAGTGCCTCAACGCTTCGATTTTTAATAGTTTCTCCCATTGCAACTTTCCACAATCGTAGATAACCATCGTATGATCCTGTAATGGCAAGATCTGATCCACGAAGTGATCCTATGGCATTGATGSTTCGGCCTATATTACCAACGATCCCGTGAGCATGATTGATATTGACAACTGCTCGTTTCTTTTCGGACATCCACAAACCCAAGTTGCCATCTTCGTGTCCTGTGAGGAACCAATTTTCTTTCATTACCCGAACGGTGTCGGCAGAAGCAAWCTTTGCTCCACCCCGAAAGATGAGGTGTGTATCTTCTGCAATTTTCCATACCCGACCTGTCCGGTCGCGTCCTACGGAGACGGGTCGTTCCTTGAGATGGCAATCGACTCCTGTCACGCCGAACTGGTGCCCGTACAAAGTTTCCAGATACATCATTTCGTTTAAGTTATAATGCCGTATACATCGATCTTCGCTCCCAGAAAAAAGCTGCAGGGATTGTGTTCGAAACGCAAGGCTGGTGATGGGTCCTTTGTGACCAGTAAATGTCTTCACCAGATTTGTCTTGGCATTTGATCGAATGTCATAGATGCAAACAGTAGAATCTCGTCTTCCAACAGCTGCGTACCGTCCATCGTCCGAACAAGCTACCGAAAGCACCTCACCAAGGGTTCGTGGTGTGGCCTCTCTCTCTTCTTCGGTTTCTCTTTTCCAGGATGGGCAGAGAGTCGTAGCGCGACGTTCTTCTTGAACGTCCCAGATAATCACAGAATGATCCTTACTTCCACTAATAGCCCTCGTACCGTCGTGTTGGAGAGCCACACACGTGGGTGTCAAATCGTGACCTCGCAAGAGCCGAACGTTTCCCGATGCGATGTACTCCTTGGCTTGCTGCTCTTGCTTGGCTCCCTCCCACACCCCCGCCGATGGAAGGGATTCTCTCGCACGATCAAGACTTGCACGAACCTTGTCCGCGACATCCTGTTCGTATKTTCCGTCACGTTGAAGTCTTTGCCTCTGGAGTTTGGCACCAATGCGATCGTGCTCCGCTCCGTCCTCGTCGTCGCTATCCTCATCGCTGTCGCTGTTATCTTCATCGGAACCATCTCCCTTCTCGATTTTTTGTAGATATTGCCTGGCCAATCGAACCTTCTTCGCGTCTAAAGTTTCCTCTTCCTCTATCTCATCGTCRCTGCTATCCTGGACGCTGTCTTCGTCATAGGCGTGTTCGCCGTCGGAGTCGATAGTATCATCGAAGTCGATCGTCCTCTGTTTTTTTCGACCAGAGACAGACAGCGTGCTTCCTGTAGAGGAGTGGTTAGTCCCTTTTCGACTTCGAATGCGGGACATTGGGAAAGAAGTGTGTTATTAATGTGTAATGGTTGGATGGTCTAGTTGATGGGTATGGCAGGATAGTGCATAAATTGTACCAAGAGTTGATGGTGATATCAACAGGATAGATGATGATGATGATGGATCATATCGATTTTTTTGTAGGACATCACTGCTTTCATGCATCTCTCCGGCCATTTTTGGGATTCGTTTGGTTGGTTGATCAAAAAGGTCTGTCTGTCCATCGAATATTAACCTTAACACYATTGTTGTAAAGTTTTATTTAGAAAAAGGAAAAACGAAAAACGTTTCCAATCCAGACGTGATAGAGACCCAATCTCAGACGTGGGTCTCGAATTTGTTTTTGAGAATCGGTTGTGTGTGGAGCGAACGAATAAATATGCGTACGTAACGTCCTGTCTGTAGGATAGAATAGCACTGTCAAGTATGCATTGTACCTAAGCATTTCGTATTCGCCTTTTTTCTTTGAAGAAAACTAGATCTGTACTTTCAGAAGCGAACTTTTGCCAGCGCGGTTCCTACTCCTGCTTTCCGAGTTCCTGCTATGCTCATACTCGAAGACTTTTCTGATTGGAGGATGACATCATACGGTGCGACATTATTTTTTATTTTTCCCTTGTTGGTTTCTTCTGAAAACTTCAAGATCTCAGCAGCAGCACGCATCAAACCTGCGTACCAGCTGTTCTAAGCGCACGAAGCGCGTGTTCTGATTGTTCTGTTCGAATTTACTACGGCGGTGCGAGCAGTTGGTTATCGTGCTGGTTAGCGCGAAGTACAAAATACCTAGCGAGAAACTCTSCCAATGAGCTTSAGACAAATGGGAACAACACCTTTTTGTAGAAGCGACGAAATCAACCTGACCGTTAGCCACTAGTACACATCGACTACATTCGTACTTCTAACATCATCAACAACGTAATCAGCGCACCAAACTGAGAGCTGCGAAAGGAAAAATAATCCGCACACAGTTAAGAAAGAAACCAAACAACGACTGAGGTTGTGGAAATATGAAAGCACGTGAATTATCGTCGCTGACAGCCCTTCTTTTCATATGCAGCATCTATCGATACGAAGCTTTTGTGAACACGGCCCCTTCATCGTCAACGAGGCCGAATTCATCGACGGAAACGTCTCCAGCAATATTATTCTACTCGACGAGAAGAAATTTTGATGCCGATTGCAGTTCCCGTGCTGGTCACAACAAAAGGCGGAGTGGCTATCGTCGGCAACATCAAAATCGCAGGTTCGTTAGGAAACCACGGAACGATGCCGCGATCAGACACAAAAACGACGAGGCTTATAATGAGCGTCGAAAGTGGCTTCAACAAGCCACCCAAGATGTGTTGGAGAAAGAAGCGGGTTCGTTGGTCAAGGGGAAGTGGCACGAACTCGTTTCGATGATAAAAGGATGGCACAAGTTTGCCAAGATGGATCCAGAAGCACCGATTCGCATCGAACTCCTCATCAAAAGACTTCACGACGAACGACTCGCTGGAAACGACGAAGCGAAAGCAGACATATCGATGTACAATTCCTTACTAGATACCTGGTGCTGTGTTGCATTGTTTGGCACCAATTATCGGGAACAATCAGGAAAGTCTGTCAATCGGTTAGCGTCTCCGTTGGCCGCATCGCAACGCGCCAGGGAAATTTTAATGGGGATGCAAGGAAATTACGACCTTGCAGTGGAAGCAGCAGGCAGCAACAYGACAGCTTTAGATTGGGCCCAACCCAATGAGGAGTCGTTTGGCCTGGTCTTTGACGTTGTCCTCAAAGTCGAAGGTGTGGCCCCTGCACGGCGTCTTGTGGCCTGGATGGAGCATGTGTCGAAAACAGGCAGAAACGACTTGGCAAAACCCGCTCGTAAATATTACATGCGACTGCTGAACGCATATGCGAATAGCCACGATACCAATGCTGGGAACCTGGCGGAAGGAATTTTGCGACATATGATCAAGATTGGAGAAATACCCGATACGGTTTGTTACAACATTGCAATCAAGGCATGGTCGAAAGGTAAGTAGTACTTGCGTGTTTCGTTTTGATACGGCAAAATTTCTTCTGAAATCTCATTGAAAATATMCTCCTTATATCTTTCAATTTTTCATTTTGGAATTCGTTACCCCAACTTCTCAGCAAGAAGAGGACGCGAATCGGCCGAACACGCCGATCGGATACTCGAGGAGATGCAAGCCCCGAAAGACGTTATTACATATTCCTCGGTCATTTCGGCATGGAGTGCCTCCGGAATGCAATCTCATGCCGTTGTACGGGCAGAAGAATTGCTGCGAGAAATGGAGGAGACTCCCGAAGTGGAACCGAACACCGTTGTGCTAAATTCGATCATGTCTGCGTGGGTCAAATCCAAAAATCCAGCGGCCATAAATCGAACCACGGAATTGTTAGAATATATGGAACAGGCGCAACACGCTCCCGCAGATCTCGTCAGTTACAACACCCACCTCCATGCGTTGTCGATACATTCCCATAGGGAGCCCGATTACGCACAGCGGGCGAACGACTTATTAACGTCGCTGGAAGCCCGGTACGAGCGAGGAGAAATCAGGTTTCGACCAAACTTGTTCAGTTACAATGTTGTGATTGATGCATGGTGCAGATCACAGGCATCAGATGCTGCTTGGAACGCTGTAAAACTACTCCGAAATTTCATCAATCATGATAGCAAATACCAACCGGATACGTTTTCATTTAACAACGTGTTTTCAGCACTTTCTCGAACTAACCGACCAGGAACCACGTTATTGGCAGAGCACCTGCTAGATTATATGGAAATTGCGTACAAGAACAGAATTTTCAAAAATGCCAAGGCTGACATTGTTTCCTATACCTGTGTTATTGTCACCTTGGCTCGGAGTGGGGAAGCGGATGCCGCAGAACGCGGAGAGAAGCTTTTGGAACGTATGAAGGAACAATATAAATCTGGAAAAACATACATGAAGCCAACACGGGTCGTCTACAATGCACTTATCGATGCCTGGGCGAAATCCGGTCGGGGAGTTTTGGGTTCAAGGAAGGCCGAGGCCCTCCTGAAAGAAATGGAAGAAATGTGTGCCATGGGTGATGCATCAGTGGCACCGAACGTTATTACCTACAACAATGTGATGACCAGCTGGGCGAGGTCTGGAACGCGTTGTGCTGGGAACATGGCAGTAAAATATCTGGATCGCATGACCATGATCAACGGAACGGAGGGGAAAATTGAAATCCGACCGAATGACAAAACTTTCCACACCGTAATCAACGCTATTGCCAAGAGTCCTAATGAAATGAAAGCGCAGAAATCTCTTCAAATATTGAGACGCATGGACAAGCTTTATCAGTCAGGATACACAGGAGCGAAGCCGAATGCTGTTACGTATAATAATGTTTTGAATGCCGCCGCCTCCTCTGGTACGTCAACGGATTTCAAGACGAAACGCAAAGCTTTGGATACAGCCATATTCACACTACAAGAGTTGCAATCATCTCAATATGCCCAACCTACCGAGTCGACGTATTCGACGTTCATTGAAGCCTGTTATAATTTACTGTCCACCGACGACGAAGTAGAACTTCGAGATATTATCGAAAACACCTTTGAAGAGTGCAAAGAAGATGGACAAATTGGAGATATGTTTCTATCGCGATTGAGAGAAGCCGCACCCAAAGACTTGTACGAAGATCTGCTGTCGGAAGTGATCGTAGCAAACAGGGATGAAGTAAAAGTCGACGACCTGCCACAATCGTGGCGATGCAATGTTCGAAGAGGGGGTCGCAAGTCGCGCCAACCTCCATAGAGTATGTTTGCGGGACTATAACACTCCAGGGAAATACATTTTTGAACTATTTAGGCGATCCGTCGACAGGGTCGGACGGCAGAAAGGATTGCCGTCCCAAGCAGACGCCAGAGAATCCCAGTCCCGAGTCCAGCGTTGTAAACAAACTTTGCCTTTTTTGGCAAGTCGCTCCACGGTTGGCATCAAAACTCGGAAACAACCCACAAAGCCCACTTTCGGTTGTCCTTTGTTGTTCAGAGTACAACAAAATACAGAACTGCCGTATGCAGCAGCATGCAACATTATGGTGCCAATCTCTAGCACGCGCGGCTATTTATCTCCGCAAGACAGGAGGCAATTTAGATTTTGACTTAAGAAAGCATTTTAGAATTTATACTAGAAGCTTACACGGCCATAAACACAAGACCTCATTKGCTGTGGTTTTATTTTGTTCCCCTTCCACGAGATATATGCATCCGTTTTCCTGCAGCAGGCAGAAACGTGAAATTCCTGACTGAATTGTGCAACTTTCTTAAAACGGATCGAACTTCTCTTGATCCCCCTGTTCGTGTGCGTCCAATGGCTTGTCGAAATCAAGATCCAGGTCGTCGAATCCCCCCAATCCATCGTCGAATAGCGGGTCTAGGAACCCATTGCCGACAGCAGCACCAGTATTTGTAGCGCCCGACCGTTTCTTGTTGTTGCTGGGAGAAGAGGCCGCAGACGATTTGCGCTTGTTGTTAGACGAAGAAGCAGAGGAAGCATTGCTGGATAATTTCGCCGTGCTACCGCCGCGTCCCGACTGAGACGCCGGGAATTCTCGTGGAATCAATGTGACAAAGCGTGCAGGAATCTACGATAGGCGACGAGTTAAAAATGCAACTGTGAGTGCAACGGAGGAGAGAAGAGAACGAACATCGACACCACCACMACCAACGACAACAACAAGAACAACTACTACTACTACAACAACTACAATATTTGTACCAAAATCGATTTGCCTTTCGGTTTTCCCTGTCACATAATTCGGTGCACTCACGTGATAAGAAGGGAAGGTTCCCGTCCTCAGATCTGCCTCTTCCTCATCGAACTGCACTACAATAATGTCGTCGTCGCCGCGGCAATACGTGCTGCCGTCGATAACGGTCGCCGCATACAGGACCGTTGTTTCCGGATACATGGCGTACACGCGGCTCCCTTTTTTGATGAGCTTGCTGGCCCATTCGTTCGCCTCCGCGGAACTCCTCGGCAGCGGCAAGACCAGGCTCCGGACCACCTGGGTTCCGGCGGTCGCCTGCTGGTCTTCCACGTCTTCCAGCAGAACCCGTTCCTTCTGCAAGAGGGCGTCCCGCCGGGTGTCCGACATGGCCAGGAACTCGAGCGGGGACGACGTGTACGACGGGGCCAGGGCGGTCGTCTTGTAGTCCTTCAGAACCTTTGCCAGGATCCACCAGTCACGAGAGGACAACCGAGCGGCACAATAGTCTCCCTGCCTCAGATCCCTGTAGCGCAGCAGCTGGAACACCCGGTGCTGGTATTCTTTTTTCGTGCACGTCCGCTTGTTGCCGTTCGAGGGATCGACCTCGGGCGGGAGATTGGCAAAGCCCGGCTCTTTGGCAATCGATTGCGACTTGTTCTTTCTGCTGGTTTTGCGGAGTCGCCGGAGCGTGGAACTGCCGGGGTCGCCGGCGGACTTTTTTGTGGTTGGCGCCGCGGCCGCTTGCTGTGGCTGCTGCTTGGAAACCGCCGAGTTTTTGGCGGAAGCACCTCCCTTCGACGTGGCGGTGCCCGACGCATTTTTGGATTTGGAACCTCCCTTGGTTGCCTTTGTGTTGCCCGTGCCGCCCCCCGTCGCACCCGACGATCGCTGGTGCTGCGATCCCGCGGTAGGAGGCGAGGGCACCAGAAAGGTGTGAGCGGGCGGTGRTTTTTCGTGCTGCAGGTTTAGGTGTGGCGGCAGGGAGGGCGAGAGCGAGGGATCGATGTCGAACAACACACCTCTCAAGACGTTGCAGACGGTCGCACAAAAGGTGAGGCCCGCCTCCAGTTCTCCCTTGAGTTTCTTTGCGGTTCTGGGATTCATGATCTCCTTCTTGAGGAGCTCTTCCTCCTTTTGGTTGAAGACCTCCTTCGTTTTGGCGCCCATGCTGCCACCGCCGATGCCGGAGGAATTGGACTTTGCGGCGAGCAAACCAGCCGATCCCATTGCCGCCCCCCCTTTCTTGTCGTCTTCCCCGGCGGCAGCACCGCCGCCAGAGGCATTGGCCGCCTTTGCGGCCCGGCTCATCTTSGTGGAATTGTTCTGCCGGGCCCGCTGCTTCTTGATGCGCTGCGCGGTGGCCGTCGCCCGCAAAAAGCCGTTGACGGCGTTTCCTCCCCACAGCACACGGGTCGCCCAGATGGTTCGATCGACGTAATCGCACTGCGTGAGCATCTGGTTTTGTTTCGCCGTGTTGAACTCCAGCGACGTGTTTCCGGGAACCTGCCTGGAGGTGGAAACCGACGACGCGCCCGATTTGTTGCTCCCGCCGTTCGCTTTCGACGACGACTTGCTGCTTCCGCTGCCGATGCCTCCCGCCGATGCCTTTGCCCCGCCGCCRGAAGACGACTTGGATTTCGATAGCTTCTGGATTCCCGACTTGCTGACGGACTGGGCCTTGCTGCTCTTTGGATGGGAAGTCGATTGTGATCCCGTCACGCCGTTTCTAGACACCGAGGCAGACGCGGAAGCCAGGGGCGGCGAAAAATCGGTTTGCGGATAGTACCCACCGGGAGCGGCCACCGGCGCCGCGCCGTTGGCCGGAGCGAACAGGTTGGGATTGTATCCCGGAGGGAGATTTCCCGATGACATGCTGGTCGGTGGTCGATGCTCGATGTTCGACGCTCCATGCGGTGCCAAGGAAGAGGAGCTATCGTGCGGTACAAGGCTGGAGACCGGGCGTTCGAGGCAAGCTCCGACGATTCGTTTGGCTACAACACTCACCGAGTCTTTTAAGTTTACGTAATAGTAGTAGAAGTACAAGTAGTAGTAGAAGTAGAAGTACTGTCGAGCGGTATCATTGGGCCGAATATTGGTTCTTCTTGTTCGCGAGATCATCAACGCAACGCGGCAAGGGAATTCAAAAACTAAAAAACAACCAAAAAACAAAAAATGATTGAAATTTTGAAAAGAAACAATCAAGTTTTGGCAAATTCTGTGCTCACTGTGCATACTACATACTATTTATAACCAAGTTGCACTCCCAGGTCGAAGATGCCACGAATGATGATAATTGCACCCGCTGTACCTGCAGCAGTCCTCTGCTTTCATTTGTGTTGCATCACCAAACTACTTCGACAAGATTCTTCAGCTTGTTCTTGTTGTCGTACCGGTCCGCCTGCTGCTCGTACTAGGAAGGAAGAAGCCTGGATTCTTCAGATACCAGTTAGGAGGAATGCACAGAGTGTTGAGATAGTTGTAAAACAGTAAGTTGTATGATCGATCAAATAAAGTGTTCACTATCTTATTCTGTACTACTTCTTTGAAATATGAGCTCTCCACCTAGCTCTAATAATCATGGCCTCTGTCTGAAAATCACTCCTCTTGTATCATCTCATTCAATTTACTCTCAAGATCCCTTCTTCACCTGTGGAACACTTCAGCTTCCAGCTCCTTTCTGCCTCTTGACAGCTGCTTGCTTCTGCCAGCTCAATGAACACAGCTGTTCATCTAACCTCTTCAAGATACCAGTTATTCAGTCTCTTCATTGTATTGTTCATACCTAGTATTAGCATCCTATCTCCATAGCTAGCCTCTTCTAATGAGACTACATCAGTGCTTCTGCTCACCCGGCTTGCACTCTCCCGTTCTGTGCACCTAGTCTTATCATACACGCCAGGCGATCCGGTTTCCAGACAGAGCATTTTTGAAAGTGTGTTTGAAACAAAAGAAAATTTATTGTTTGCATTCAACCTCCTAGATCAAAGCCGAACTTGTTGCATCGGACGAGGCAGCACCGAGCGGCAGTTCACAAGCTACGAGGCACGATCAAATTCAAACTCTGACAAACGTACTACTAATGTAACAGTCGTTCTTAAATTATAAATTGTAAATAACAAATGGTTCATTTTCTGCSGTTGCTGGTTTGAGCGGAGAACCGACTCTGGCTTCTTCCGATTTCGATKTTTTTCATTTTCTTCACGGAGTTGCCGCGGTGCTGTGATCGTCTTGTTTCGTCACCATCCTTTYCGGAATTCCTCGGCCAAGGATTCGAGTTCCGCTCGMAGCGTGGGCTTCCTGCCACTTTCTACCAACGCGCCGGAGGGCTCTGGTGGGGGCTTCAGTGCCACCGTTCCCAACGGTTTGGACAAGGAGATGAACGTGGGTTTCGGGKTGGGTTTCGGGGTACGTTCGGGTTTGTTCATCTTGCTGAGGTTGGGCAACACGACGTTGTCTACCACGTGGATGACACCGCTGCAGGCCCGGATGTCCGGCACAACGATCTCTGGGAGTTTGTCGTCCATCTGCATCGGTCCCCTCTGGTACTTCGCATCGCCGGCGCACTTTGTTCGGGTGCTTCTYCCGTTCGCTGTTTTGATCAGTGTGTTGCATTCGAGGTCGTCAAAATGGAGGGCAGTTTCTGTTGTATTGATTACGTGATACAAGAGAACATATATCGACTGGGAATCGGTTAGGGCACCAGGGCCAAATTCTTCGTTGTCTTCCAGCGCTTCGAACGCCCCGTTGGTGGGTGCAAATACGGTCAGAACACCATCCGACTTTGGCAAGAAGGAGTCGACCAAATCGAACTCCTTGATCAATTCACAGAACTTTGAAAAGCTGGCGTCGCTGCACAAATGATCGACTGTGGTTGTGAAAAGGTTCCATTGAAAAAGGCGCGGCAATGGAATGAGAGACCATAGCCGAAAGGCTAAATGCAGTCGGACAAGCATTGCGCAGCCAAATGAATCGAACGAACTTACCGACCGAAACGCACTCTTCGTCTGAAAGCTCTTTCTKTGGTTCAGATGCTTCTGGAACTTCTGGTTCTGTGGTTGGGGAAGATTTTGGTGCGAGCGTGGGTATGGTTATGGGTGCGGATACGGGCGCCGGTGCAGGTACGGGTGCAGGTACGGGTGCAGGTACGGGTGCAGGTACGGGTATAGGCGAGGGTGCTGGTGCGGGTACAGGCGCGGGTGCTGGTGCTGGTGCTGGTGCGGATGCTGCTGGAGTTGGTGTAGGTGTTGGCTTCCGAGTTGGCTTTCGCGTTGGCTTTCGAGTTGGCTTTCGAGTCGGTTTCCGTGATGGGGCTTTCGAACCAGATAGCTTGCTAAATATTTGAAATTCATCCACTACTTTTCCATCCATCAACGAGTTCATATACCGAAAGGTTCCAAGCCGCGTATCGTCTTCGTCAAACTCTGCGATTACGGCTCCGCGGTGGTCACTGCCGCGTGCTATGCACTTCTCCATCCAGGTTGCATTCCGGTAAATTCCATTACAAGATCCGTCGTACCCGCCCATACCAGTAGTGATCGACATGGTTCGACCCTCTGTTACAACGAGCATTGAATTATCTGTGTTGGTAGGATTGATCGGTACTGGATCGTCACCGCTTTCCGTTCCCACGCTTTTTAACATTTTTGTACGACTATATACATGGTTGTGGCCCGACATGATGATTGCACCATGTTGTCGACACGCATCTGTTATATCAGCTAAGACCATGATGTCCCTATTTTTTCCACCACCTGATAGTTTAGCAGAGGTCTAGAGAAATATGGGAACCGAGTATGGTGTTAGATATTTTTATTCCCCCACAAATTTCTTATGAAATTGCAACGCTAGGAAATGTGCTTACCATGTGGTGAATGCAAAAACGCCAACGGACGTTTTTGCTGCGTTCGTCACTGAATTCCCGCTCAATGAACTCAATAGTCTTCTTACGATTTTCCTTGGATTTATTGTCTGTGCGTTCGTTGCTGCCCTGCCACCAACCTAAAAAGAGGAATTGAAAGTCCTCCTTCCCACTATTGTTATTGTAGTAGCATGAAAATCGTTCACCATACTCGTTCACCGCTCCGGGCTCGGTCTGGTTAGAGTATCCATGACATGCACCTCGTTTTTTGTTGTAGATACGCTCCATGTACAATCTGTGCATATACTGTTGGTGAGTAGCCCAAATTTCCRTACTTCCTGGTGGCACAGTGGAATTCAGTATTGAACGTATTCCGAGGATGAACAAGTTGTACCCAAATTTATTAAGTATGAGAACAACAATAAATTTTATGCAACGTCGTCCAACAAGCTCGTATCGTGCATCTATGAGATAAAATTTCTGTTAYGTGCATAATACCCACTCACCGTATTCTGGCGCATCTTTGACTTCTGCGTTTCCAGATGCACCTAGAAAGTCGAACGAGTAATCGCTAACAAATTTATTCCATTCCCAMGCGCCTGGTCGAGGATCGATGAGAATTGTTAGAAAGGATAAACTTCGAAAACAAAGTCATTCTGCTTCTTGTTAACGGATTCGAAAAAAGTGAGTACGCACCATCCCAGGGCTCGCCTTCGCAATCTTGCTCTCCAGCTTTGAGTTCAATGTTGTCACTTAGATTTTCCCATGTCTTATCTGAAATGGTGTGGAGCTGAAACAATTCGTCATCCAGGGTGACTGTGTTCGGCTTCGCAGTAGATTCATCGTCSAGCTTTATTCCAAYCTGCCATCCTGCGATGGACCCGTGGCTTCCRTCTTGCCATGTGACGCGTTTCACAACTGAGTTGGAAGGTACTTCCATGTTCTCTCCCGACAACGAACGTATCGCTGTGGGGCTCTTTACTTCATATGTCTCTGTGCAGCGTCCCCAATAATCAAAGTCTCCAACGTCAACAACAAGATCTACGCTTTCGTCCTCRATCATGCTCATGGTGAGATGGCCGTATCCATTGTACTCTGGGTCTGAAAAGTGAAAATTGGCGAGATTTGCAGTATTAATGAGGATTCAATAACCGAGAGAAAAGTGTTTTTGAAAATAAGTGTTTGGATCTCTCTGGAGTACTCGTWCACCTACCATCCATTCCTGTATCTCCTACAAATGCAATTTTAACGCCTTGGCTCATAGGTRGAKTAATCGATGCTGCCAACAGCATCGAGTGCAAGGCAAGTTTCACCATATCTAACCGCATTCGTTAAGAAAAGAATTGATGAGCTGGCTTTTTATGATAAATCAATCAACTTTTGTTGTATGTTTGCTCTTTCGATACCTGGTGTACCTACTATCGATGCGCAATTGATGGATAATGCATCYGTGCGCTTCAGATACGATGATTCATTAATGTTCCATGGACCAAACCCAAAATGATTGTCAATATTTTGTCAAGGTGCTGGGTGCGGCGTCTCATACCATACGGTTTGAAATCTTCGAACAATGAAGCGACCAAGAATGATAATATTTTTGTCGAGTTTCGTTGCAACGGGAAGGTTGGAACGAACTTTACTCAATCATTTGGTCCACGACTTCGGTTGTCAGGAATGATAATATTGCGCGGAAGAAATCGGACT